TACATACCGTACATCTCTCTACAGGTTAAAGTAAAGGTAAGTAAAATCCCCAGTATACACTTCCCCGTGTAAGCCATAGTAAACATCGTCGTCTCACATCACGAAGTTAGTGGAAATTGATATAAGAAATCACTAGACGGTTTACTAAACCAACACAATTCGATGCGGGGATGATTAAATTACTTTAAAGTTTGAACTGAATACAATTGTGTTTGGATCTTTTATTTAAATATGTCTTTAATGTTTAATTATTTGATTGGTGTGATAACTGCAGCCGGTCTTCTTTACAAAGGAATGGTAATTAAACAGACAAACAAACTAGAATAGAGATTCTTCTTTGTTAAGCGCTATATAGGACATCTAGTGCAGTTCAGTAGGGAACGGGCGTTATCGGGAAACCTTTTGATGGTGATCGTTATATTCGTTCCTAAATATAGAACTGCTAGATCTTGGTGTTGCCGTAATCCATATTGAAACATGTATATAGCAGTCTTCACCTATAAACTAAGACTAGTAGAACTATTCAGTACGTTTCTTACCCAGGACATTCACACACTGCCATAAAGCTGATTTAAAAGGCATCTGATAACATTTAAGATAACACGACACTCTAAACATACGATTGCACCTGTGGGTTACGTTCAGAATCATAAGTCGGTGGAAACAGGGAAAACTCACTAGGAACAGGAAAAATTCCTTCAAGGTCAATTTAGCTGTTCATACCCATTGCTCTGCCAAAATGGTTGTACTAAGTGTATATGATGTTATTGTAAATGTCGTATACGTGTTATTGTTAAATTTGGTGAACTATTTTTATGGTCAATGTGATACAACTTACTTTCTGTACCATTATATCTATAAAAAGTGTCACTTTTACGTTTGAATATTGCGTTGTGCAATTGTTCAATATTGATAGAGTATTAGTGTTGCTGCTAATTTAAGTATCTAAATCGTCAATGAAGAAATATTGGCTAATCATACTTAAGTAATACATTTATGTAGATTGTTGATTATTAATGATAAGGATACGGACCTCCCGCATTTATATTGGATTGCTAAACTTCACAAGAATCCAATGTTTTATTGCTAACTTCTCTAACTGTTCAACCAATCCTTTTCATAATGTTCAATCCACACTTAAGTATGTCATTGTGTCTGCTGATAAGGCGTCCAATAACTTGACCACTGTCTGCAGAAATTATTACATTTACAGCATACAAAAAGAAATAAACATGCTTGATAACGAAAGAAACACCACCTGTTCATTTTTCAATCTTTCCAATTAAAAAATACTTGCTAATCTTGCTTCTGTATTAAAATCCTTAATGTTGCCTATAAATGATAGAATACGGACCTCCCCCTTTTATATTGGATTCCTAAACATCACAAGAATACATATCAGCTTCGTTTAATTGCTGGCTTGTCTAGCTATTCAAACGTTCAATCAACATAAGAAATATACGCAGGACACAGGACTACAAAATATTGCTGAGTTTCTGATTGACAATTAACATCTTTTTCATTTTTTTGTGGTAAGATCTTTTTCATTTTTTTGTGGTAAGATCTTTCAACAGACTAATATGGAATTTAAATTGTCCCTCTGTTGGCTTGTTGTTTTTGTTTCCATATGAGGGTGAATCTATCGAAGGCTTATCAAAACATTACAAAGACCTTTCGCAGATCTAAGGCCAGGTTTTAAATGAAGAAATAAATAATACTTAACTGAAATGAATGCATAGGATTATTACCACACAATGTTCTTTTCACTTTAATCTTATTATCATCTGGCCACACTTTTATCCACATTGACGTACATATAATTAAAGTACCGCCTAAATGTCTTTTCGGTTTCATTACCACTTCACCATCTCGTAATACACGCTTCACGGTGATCATTTGTTTGTTGAATGTGACAGCTGAGTCGTTGTACAAAGATTTACAAAAGCGACACAAGTGAATAGAACATTTAAATATAACTTTAGAGTTAGATACAATAGAGTCAAACAGAATAAGACTGTTTGGTCCATCTAGGACTCATCAACGTCAAGGTAAGTCTCTAAATATTTAAGCTTAGAAGTGGACTGGTAAAATCTAAAGTTACCGACAGAAGAGCCAAAATCTAGATGGGAGATTATACAAACCATATAATTCAATAAACTGCTTAACTTCCCTAGGTTTGATAATTTGTTGAACAACGTCAGGTTCATGAGTATATTCTGAACCTTGCTACTATACATATCTTTAAGATGTTGTGAAACACAGACATCAATGATAAGAAAATGATTATCAATTATGAAAAAAAGTGTTTAATCCATAAGAATATTGAAAATGTCGGATTATAAAAAACGAAGAAGTATGAAACCAGATAAGATTCGATTCTTTAGTCGCCATATTTTGAGTACTTGTTGACGGTTCCTCTCCACTGCGGCTATAAACTCTCCTATTTCAGTATTCGTGGATTTCTCACTGAAACAGCAATCACAGGGTTTTGTGTTTACATCCACAGTTTTGTCATAAAACAGAGAATATTACATATTCTTCTAAATCCACCCTAAGACGCGGATCATGTTGAAGAATAGCTTATGCTAAATATATACTCAACAAAAATCAGCTTTATTGTTATAAGCCAGAACTATTAGCATAATCTTATAACCAAACAAAACCAAAGTAATCAAATCTTGTAATTATCTGATCACTGTTGAATAGCAAAAATAGTTTATGTGGTTTTAATTGAAGTGAAACTGGACGGGGTCGATTGTTTATTCAGAAGATATATGACATCAGCCTGTCTGTGATTACATACAGGCCGGTGACTGAACCAATATATGTACGCTAAAGAGTTTTCCTGCAGCCATCTTTATTTCAATTCACATGCTTAAAACATAATTTACAGTTGAGTTTCATAAAGTCGGACTGTTAAATTCCAGTAACGACAATGAACAACACATCTATAAAAACTATAAATATACATTTATAAACATGTCCACATTTATTTATCGACCTTGCAAACAAGACCGACATGACTTGTCTGCAAATCAAACTTGATGCACTCAACATTATGTACATAATTACTCCATATAAAAATTCGAGATCTGAATCACATATAAATGAATACAAACATAACCTATCTAAATGTATATCAGTGATAGCTGATCAAGGTTCATAAGTAACTGATCTATATTCACTCTATCTACAAGTCAGTTATGTCCCTACAAAACAGGACGAGACTATGGTTCCTCATGCACTGTCATGACCTATGACATTTTGTCCCATTTAAGTAGCTTGCGGCAGACCTCTCGAATGGTGTTCGGAGAGGCAGTCACCAACTACTAAAAGATGTTCCAACCTTAAAATACCAATACACATTACAAAAATATTAGGTGTCCATTAAACTGGATACATTAGCACAATGTTTGATAAGGACACAAAAAATTAACAACTATACATTTCAATCAACAATGGTAATTATCAGTAACATCAAGGATTTCACAAAAGATGTACGGCAATATATAAATACATTTAAATCTTTCATGTCTTTAGATAAAACTTGTCTAATAACAATACATGTAAACATCAAATATGTCGTTACATAAAACCCACCAGTATACCTAATGCATACCAACACAATTAAGTCTCTATACAACCTGTGTTCTGACTATATGAATTACAAAGGTTTTATAATAACAATACATACTATCTGTCCTTGAATAAAATACGGGATGAGACATCTTTAATTCAGTACATACATGAACATGCTATGTACTGGATTTATAAATAACATCTTGGTAATATATGTAACACCTGTATTTAACCAACACCTGTCTGTAGATGACATCTGTCTATATATAACACTTGTCTGAAGATAACATCTGTCTATATATAAAACACCTGTCTGTAGATAACATCTATCTATATATAACACCTGTCTGTAGATAACACCTGTCTATATATAACACATGTCTATAGATAAAATCTGTCTATATATAACACCTGTCTGTAGATAACACCTGTCTGTAGATAACATCTCTCTGTAGATAACATAGGTCTATATTTAACACCTGTTTATAGATAACACCTGTCTGTAGAAAACATGTCTGTAGATAACACCTGTCTATGGATAACATCTGTCTGTAGATATCACCTATCTATAGATAACACCTTTCTGTAGATAACATCTGTCTGTAGATATCACCTATCTATAGATAACACCTTTCTGTAGATAACATCTGTCTGTAGATATCACCTATCTATAGATAACACCTTTCTGTAGATAACATATGTCTATATTTAACACCTGTCTATAGATAACATCTGTCTGTAGATAACACCTGTAGATAACACTGTAGATAACACTTGTCTAAAATAACACCTGTCTATAGATAAAATCTGTCTATATATATCACATTTCTAAAGATAACACCTGTCTATAGATAACACCTGTCTGTAGATAACACCTGTCTATAGATAAAATCTGTCTATTTATATCACATGTCTAAAGATAACACCTGTCTATAGATAACATCTGTCTGTAGATAACACCTATCTATAGATAACACCTGTCTACAGATAACACCTGCCTGTAGATAACACCTTTCTGTAGATAACACCTATCTCTAGATAACACCTGTCTATAGATAACACCTGTCTATATATAACACCTGTCTAAAGATAACACCTGTCTGTAGATAACACCTATCTCTAGATAACACCTATCTATAGATAACACCGGTCTATAGATACACCTGTCTATAGATAACACCTGCCTATAGAAACACCTGTCTAAAGATAACAACACAGTATAATAGCATTTAGTGCTACATCCACCCCATGTACAAGGGCAGTTCTTTGGAAAGTGATTTGACACATCTTAGGCTCAATATTATTGACGTGTTGAAGATTCTTGTAATAGGATGTGTGGCATACTTGTATCAGGAAGACATTCCGATAAAAAAAGAATTAAGATCCAAGTATCACAATAAGAAAACTTCTCGATATTATTATTATTCATAATAATATTCAATCTCTGCATCACAGAATACGGTGTTACACAGCACCATACATGCAAAGATAAACGTCACACAGACAGGTACCATACTGCAACTGATTGCCGTCAGGAACCAAGCTGTAACATAACAACGATATCAATGTAATGATATATACAGAATCCACGACATTAACCAAAATAGAAAGTAGTTTATCTGGTGTTTGGTGTTTAAGAGAACATTTATTGACGTCACGTTATCATGCATGACATCAAGAACCTGCCAAACTTTCTAACGATCAAGATCTTTGAACAAATACATAAATCTTTAATTCAGTTGCTTATACATTGAAAAAGAACTAATATCCTGTTTCTACATGATTTCTTATCTTTAAAAAAATCAAATTTGAAATTTCTATAAAACTGACGTACTGAAAATCGATAAGACAACTTTTGAAAAGGTAAGCACAAGCAATGGTTTTAAAATGTACTAACGTATTGTCACACACATTTGAACTTCGTAAACTTGAACTCTTAACTCATAGACCCTGTATAATTTGAAGTGTTTAGTCGGTTTCAGAGAAACTTGACACCTACTATTCAAACTTACTTCAATCAAATACTCGGATAACTCGAAGTTTTCTCATGGTCCAGCTGACTTCGACATAACTAGGTTCGACTATAACTGGTAACTAAAACAGGAATATTGAATAGTTGTAAACTTACTTGGCGGTACATAGGTTTCGACATCTTTCACGTCCAACATAAAGATTTCCAGAAACTGTGTGGAGATTCCGTGGTCATCCGAACAACAGAAATACACCTTGTAGTAGTCACTGATATCTTTGTAGCTAAACACCGGATTCTCAACTGTATATAATCTATAGGCTGTATGGAAAGAATATAGAAATTAGAACAAAGGTATTCACAACGTAACGAAATCCATATAAGTATCCATCAGATTGTCTACACGCGATCTCTAACTCTTTACCATTTTGTTACATTTTCATTATTTTGAATAAGCAATATTCGAGAAAAAAAAAGATTTCAAACTGAACATAATGATGTAAATGGTTTTGAATAAATAATTTACACAACTATGAAATATAACTCACTGTTTATTAGTTGTGTGCCACGATTGAGTAACTAACATTAATATGTAATGTTTTTAATGAGTTATTTGGAATAATATTTGCAGATACGAACAATATCTCCACAGTCATACAGATTCTCCTTGTATGATTCAAATGAAAGATGAGTAACGTTTGTTTTTGCGTTTTTTTTTATAAAGAATACATATTGATATCATGTTGCTAAATAAAACGTCTTTTTGGGAACATAATGAATTCGCATTTAATAAATTGTAGAAATATATTGTTAAATCGGACGTACTATTGTTAATGAACTTTAGTTGGAAGTTGAGTGACCCCGGAATGACCTCTGTGAGGGTACAGCATACAGAGTCATTCTCTGACTGATCGACAGCGTCAATCTCAAATATCAACCTTTCCTCGGCCAAGTCCTCGCTCACTTCTACACTGTCAGGCAGATTGATGAAAATTGGGGGCTGCAAAGAATAACAACATTTCTAAATTTTGGTAAATTGTTGACAATTATCATCATTAAGGCAATATTTTGCAGCTTCTCCTGAGTAGCATTTGTTTCCCTGTTTGCAGTCTTTTTATGGGGAAGTCTCTTAATAATTGATATTAATAATCAAATGAAATGTGGTACGTAAATGAACTAATCATGTACATAAACAAACTTAGGATGAATACATGAATTAAAAACACATAAACGTAATAATTATCAATTGATATCCAGTATAAGTTATACGGTGTATGGTATTTGTATCCATAAGTATGAATATTTCTATATATTACTCTACACACACACACAAAAAAGAATTATACATGCAATTTAAAGCGCAAAAACGTAATTTTGAAAATCAAATGGTATGGTATATGTAGCATAAATATCACACACATGTAGAAAGCATTATCTACACAGAGACAAAATAAAGGTATTGTTATATTTATACCGCATTGTATGTCATTATGGTGAGAGTGGTCGTGGCGGTGTTCTGGCAGTCGTCGTGCGAGTTCAGTACCAGTTCAAATACAGAGTACGTACTGGGCAAGATATTGGTGGTCTGGATATGGATGTTTCCTGTCAAAAGAATGCACATCTGATTCAGTATTCAGAGAATGATATCAAATTCAATGCTCATAAAGACAATTAGGTACAGGTGTCATATATATTGGATGAAATCAGATCTCTCTCCAATTTCTAAGGAAATATTCAATAGTCACATGAAGATAAAGTTGAAACATGTTGTGTGGAATATACAATGGAAAATGTGAAATACTTGTTATAATTTGATTTAATGATTTGATGGATTCAATGATGAGGGTATAAAACGGGTTTAATGTTCTATGTTGAGCCATGTCTGATATTCAGGAGTCTTTCAATGCACGGGAGACAACTCTGTCTGTAAACCAGATCAATCATGGATGGTACTTATAATGGGTTTGATCTTGTATTCATGTTAATATCAACTCTGCAGTAATTCTGTGTTACTCGTCATATTTCATAGTTTTCTTTCGTAACAGTTACGTTATTACACCCATATCATGTAGAAATTCCCATTCATTAAACGCAATGTTCGATCACAACATTATTTCGCAAGCATCATTTTTTGTATCAAAACCGGTGTTGGTCATTACGATCAAATTCCTTAAAACAATTCTTGTCTTTAAAGAATTTTCTGCTTTCTTAGATTCAGAAAATCAACCGATGTAAATATCAATAAGATATACTCAATTTCAAAATACATTTCTTACCTGTATGTTTCCACTGTTTTAGCATACTTTCATTATTAAGATAAAAAAGGTATTTTAATTAATTTTTTTCAGTATTGTTAACACTATTCTAGTCGTAGATACAAACAATATTTTTAAAAATATTGACTGTATATCTAATATTCTGATTAATTATTAGACTAAGTTTGATTCTCTCAACTTATACTTCATATCATGAAATGAGTCATCATTTACCAGGAAAAGTGGTATTCAGTTCGAACAATCCTGTTGTATCAACGAAGGTGTGTATGAGAAGGTCGAAATCTCCGATATCGTCGTCTGTTATGTGATAATTAATACAACTCCCACCTAAAGGAGTGTTATCAGGCACCAAGGCATCGTAATAGGTCTGGTTCACATAAGGAACTGTATCTGAGAACGAAACATAGAACACAATCAACATTCATAGTCTAGTTATCATAGGGAACTGAATCGCAGGAAAAAATAAATATACTTTTGAGTTCAGATAATTTATCTGTTTGATCATGTTAGATAAATCGATATTTCACAAAATCTCCCTGTGGTCAAAACCCCTCTACAGCTATACCAACCCCTTACTATCTTTCATTTTCTCAGCATTTTAAAACATTTTTCTACTGTTAATGAATTAAGACGTTATGTCTAAACACAACTCCGTACTTACTGGGTGCTGTGAAGAACCGTATGGCGTATGCTATATCTGATAGCTTGGTCCCTAACGTTGTCCATCGGTACTTGTCCCCTACATCCAGGTTCGCTGGAAGTGGCGCTACCCAGGTCTGGTTGGGACAGCCCTCGCAGCAGCACTCTGCGTACTTGATAATGTTTTCACCGGGAGTATACCTGCATCATCAATTATAATAAAAATGTGTTAGTAGGTGTAGATGCCTCTATACTTTGGCAGACATGAACGTGGGGTCACCAGCCTGACCAGGAAGGTTTTCCACAGGTAAAATATGAATTTAAGAAGATCCCTAACTTCTGTTTAAAAACAACTAGAGCAGATTCACTTATACAGGCCTTTTATTAACATATAAACCAACTGAAATTTACATGAAAAAGTTCAGAACGGCATTATTTTCGAAAAACTGTCATTCTTTCAACATTCTGTAAGAGTATTTTAGATAAACGGTTTTATGTTTAACACTTGTCCATTCGTAAAACAGAATTATTCAGGGAAAGTTTCTTAATTGTGCCCTGCCCTTCAATCTTATCTAAAAACACAGAAGAGAAAAGGTTACCATGTTCTTTGAACATTCATAGACATAAAGGGGACTGATGACCTTCTCTGTCTAGAATTTAATTTGTCACATTTACTTGTGTTCTGGAACCAGCCCATCAGAATAAATCTTTTAAAATGTTTTGTCTAATACTGAATCAAGTATGCTGAACTGTGTTTTGTAGTCAGCACATAATAAAATAATTATATTAATATATTATGTAGGCCTCAACCACCTGTATAATATAGAGGCAAAATCTCTATTGTATTACTTACCAGCCTAGCTGGTCTCCTTTTCTTACAGATAATCTCTTCTTCAGCGGTAATGAGTGATTTATGAGCGAACCTATTTCAGTTTCTGAAATTTAATATATATTATAAAAAAATCATCCTGTTATATAAGAAAAACCTACTTAACAATCTGAATTAAACAGACATAAACAGAAAAATATCTGTGTTAACACAATTCAGTATATTGAAAAATGACATTCGATTTGCAACAACAAATGTAGTCAACTTATCAAATACGCAAGTTTATTAAATGTTTTATCAAACTAACTGATAACTTGAACACCTCGCATTGTCTTTTCAGTACTTTGTACTCAGTCTTTTACAGTTCCAATTGGTGAGAGACACTTACATATTTTATCTGAATAATACTGACTACAGTTTAGATTGTTTGCACTCTGTTCTTTTAATTCTGTTCCTGTAGAAATATCAAATATGTTGTATTTCTTATTTGAATTAAGGAATGCATTTTCTCCTTAAATTTCATTTAACAGTTAATAATATGTATATGTTACACTCATTATGACAACTGTTTTTACATAAAAATACACAATACAAAAGAAGAAAAAAGTTTGTTTTATGAAAATGCATGTCTTGAAAGTAATGTGTAATATAGCGTAAACTATTACAATGATACCGGGAGATAAGTCATGCGTAAAAGAATATATGTTACAATTAAAAAAGATATATCGCCATGTCAAAAAAAAAGAAAAGAAAAAAAATCTGAATTCAATCACAAAATATGATCAAACTAAATATTTACACAGAGAAATGGTATAAACAGTATAACACCAGGTGTTCCTGGAAAGTAAGTGTCTCACACTTCATCAAAGACACAAAGCATGTAAATCTTTCGTTAAACGAAGGAATGCTACACTCCCTGATGAGAACAAGGTAAACAAAGAAACTACCTCACATAATAACAAGCATCGAAACATTTATGACTTCTTATTGCACAAGAAAATAGAAAGCAAGAATATTACATAGTCCTATAGAATACTTACCGTTTACTGTATAATTGGTCATATGTAACAGTTCATATTGTGTGCTGCTGAATTGGCGCCATATATGGAAGTAAATTTCTCCAGCTACTCTCGGTACAAACTCGAAGGCTTGGACCACTTCACAGCAGGGAAAGTCCCAGTTTACATCAAGTAAAAGATAGCCCATTCCTGCCATATCACAGAAAACATACCAGGGACTGTTAAGGCATATCCTCTATGAACTACAAAATCTTCATTTCATTTGAAAAGAAAAACTCAAAGGGATGATTTATTATATAATAGTATATTCGTGTCGTCTAACGAATATATCAGTATCTTATTCTTACATATTGATATAACGATTTTTTTACAATTTTATATTTATTGAATATTTGGTTAATGACATCTGCTCTTCTGAATTTTATGCAATAAATTTGGATATTTCTCAGTTGCTGCCGAGGTTTCAGCAATCTAAATTTATAGCATAAACCTACAGTGCAGTTTAATTCATTACTTCCTTATTTGAGTCTACTATGTCTAATCAAACATAAAAATCATGCGTCTGCATTTCATACAATTTTACAAATATAGCATATGTACAACAATTCACTCAGTGATATTAATCTCCGTACCTGACCGTGTGTCATTGAAAACCGTTATATTGTCTGGCTCATCGTATCCAGCATAATGGTCCCCACAAACTAAAACCAAAACAAATGCATGTTATTTCCACATGTCCGGGGGAGGGGGGATCACAACATTAAATGATAATATATGCTTTGAGAACTTAAACAATAAATTAAAATTTTAATCATCTTTGTTATCAGTTGTTTCCTTTTTCTGTTCGTGGAGGTTTACTAACAAGGACGGGACTGTAGTATATGGAGTGTTCCTAAGAGCTTACTTATTCAGACAAGACAGGTATGTGGAGTGTCCGTAGAGGCTTACTTGGACAAGACTGTTTTAAGTGGAGTGTCCGTAAGGGCTTTCTTACTCAGACAACACTGTTTTTAGTGGAGTGTCTGTAGAGGTTTACTTACAAGCACGGGATTGTGGTATGTGGATTGTCTGTAGAGGTTTACTTACAAGCACGGGGTTGTGGTATGTGGAGTGTCCGTAGAGACTTACTTACCGAGACAAACAAGACTGGAATATGGAGTGTGTGTGGAGGCTGACTGACATGGAAAAGACAGCAAAATGTCTTCAATGCCTGTAAGGGTGCTGGGTTTGTTAACCCGGCCAAGATTGTCCGTAGTCTTTCTTGGGCGGTATGGTGGTTTGCTGATAGTATCTGTAAAGGCTTAAATCCAATTTGTGGATACTCAGAGGATTACGTACTTGAACAAGACCGTGGCTTGACGAGTAAGTTCAAGCTTACTTACTCAGACTGGGCAATCAAAAGCCTGTTGAGACTTACTTTCTCACTCAGGGCTGTGGTTTATTGTTATCTATATCTAGACTACCTCTGAGGGATCACCACCTTATCATGGTGGGGCAGTTTGTGCGCACCTTTGACCCTAAGAGCTTTGCCGGCGGGAGTACATAATGATCCTAGTAGGGCCACCCATGTCGGACAGGTCGAGGGGTAGGGGCCAGGCGAAGTGTGATCCCCCAGTCCTCCAAGTTGGGGGTGGGAAGAGGACTAAAAACCCTCTCCTTTAAAAATAAACTTATTACAGAAACCGAAAGCAGAACAAATCCATCAAATCCAGGGAATGCTACGGCCTTACCTCCGATCAGAGGAGACTCCATGATGCAAGAGGGCGAAAGCCAAGAGGAAACCCTCGAGCAGACCAGGCCATTAGTACACCCCAAATCTTTAAGGCCTTATGTGCCACGAGGCAAGAAGTGGATAGATTATAGGTTATATCTAGACTTACCAGGACAAGACTGCGGTTTACAGGATTTACTGTCGTTATACACATCCGGACAGTCATTGCCAGGATAGACCATTGTTGGATTGTCACATACACGTTCTCTGTATCGTGTTCCGCCTCCACATGTGACGGAACAGAACGACCAGGGTTGCCATGCGTTCCACACACCGTCTCCTATAAAACACCAAACGAAATTTAAGGTTGGTGAAATAGTTCTGGTTATTAATGCTAAATTGGCTATCTTCTTAAGAGATATTAACAATACGGAACAGTTTTATCAAAGTTAATTATATATTACTTTCACTCCAATAAATTGGCAAACATATAACTTACGTGCACAGTACAATGTGCCATGTCCATAGTTGGTGATCTGGGTCCAGGTTTTGTTGCAGGGATCACTGTACGTTACGTCATCATAGTAGAACCTACAGCTTCCGTTTGTGACGTTGTGACATTGATCAAACAGGATATCCAGAGCATCAGTATCCTTACACTCATCAGACCCACCCTCATCAAAGCCGTAGAAATTGTCCCACACATATATATAATAACTGGAAGGGCACACCATGTGGTACCATCCATTCTCCTGTATATTCCCTGTGTCATATGCTTAAAAAGATAAGAAAAAGAATTTTGCTGTAGTTTCACTTTCACTTTCCATTATATATATGTAACAGATTGATTACAAAACTACATGGATGTTATACTATATTTCCAAATTCATGTTAGAATAAAAGGACATGAAAACTGGTCATTACATATACAGATCGGTAGGTCGGGTATGCAGTACTGGAATTCTATATCAACTCCGGGGCAGTAGAGACCATCCCCAACAGGTGCGGGATTGGTACAGTTCCGATAACGGTTCTGGCCTCCCTCTGCATAGCAAGTAGTGCTGCACGTGTCCCAGTCTGACCAAGCTGTCCAGTTACCATCCACTGAGGAAATAATACCGAGGTGTAATGTTGTGTAATATTGTCAATAAAAGGTTCTGATACTTGTGCAGTTTCTTCCATTGTAAGTAGTGAAACAATAAAACTAAAACTTTGTGCTATGACAGCATTTTCTGAAAGTTAGAGCGATGATGTGCCGGCAACTGTTACGAATGATTTACTGCTTTGAAAAAAATCGGCTACATGAAAATTAAGGACCACAATGACTTGATATAGATAATAATACAAATAAATAGGTTGATTACTGATAAATAATACAATTGTGTGTACTCATTCCCATCCTGTTGTTATATACAACGAAAGTGTGTGTACTCATTCCCATCCTGTTGTTATATACAACGAAAGTGTGTGTACTCATTCCCATCCTGTTGTTATATACAACGAAAGTGTGTGTACTCATTCCCATCCTGCTGTTATATACAACGAAAGTGTGTGTACTCATTCCCATCCTGCTGTTATATACAACGAAAGTGTGTGTACTCATTCCCATCCTGTTGTTATATACAACGAAAGTGTGTGTACTCATTCCCATCCTGTTGTTATATACAACGAAAGTGTGTGTACTCATTCCCATCCTGTTGTTATATACAACGAAAGTGTGTGTACTCATTCCCATCCTGCTGTTATATACAACGAAAGTGTGTGTACTCATTCCCATCCTGCTGTTATATACAACGAAAGTGTGTGTACTCATTCCCATCCTGTTGTTATATACAACGAAAGTGTGTGTACTCATTTCCAACCTGTTGTTATATACAACGAAAGTGTGTGTACTCATTCCCATCCTGTTGTTATATACAACGAAAGTGTGTGTACTCATTCCCATCCTGTTGTTATATACAACGAAAGTGTGTGTACTCATTCCCATCCTGTTGTGATATACAACGAAAGTGTGTGTAGTCATTCCCATCCTGTTGTTATATACAACGAAAGTGTGTGTACTCATTCCCATCCTGCTGTTATATACAACGAAAGTGTGTGTACTCATTCCCATCCTGCTGTTATATACAACGAAAGTGTGTGTACTCATTCCCATCCTGTTGTTATATACAACGAAAGTGTGTGTACTCATTCCCAACCTGTTGTTATATACAACGAAAGTGTGTGTACTCATTCCCATCCTGTTGTTATATACAACGAAAGTGTGTGTACTCATTCCCATCCTGTTGTTATATACAACGAAAGTGTGTGTACTCATTCCCATCCTGTTGTGATATACAACGAGAGAGTGTGTTACCCATCCTGTTGTTATATAAACAGAAAGTGTGTGTACTCATTCCCATCCTGTTGTTATATACAACGAAAGTGTGTGTACTCATTCCCATCCTGTTGTTATATACAACGAAAGTGTGTGTACTCATTCCCAACCTGTTGTTATATACAACGAAAGTGTGTGTACTCATTCCCAACCTGTTGTTATATACAACGAGAGAGTGTATTACCTGATGCTAGAGGCGATATAAACAGTAGTACAATTGTGTGTACTCATTCCCATCCTGTTGTTATATACAACGAAAGTGTGTGTACTCATTCCTAACCTGTTGTTATATACAACGAAAGAGTGAATTACCTGACGATTGAGGCTATATAAACAGTAGGAGGAGTACAATTGTGTGTACTCATTCCCAACCTGTTGTTATATACAACGAAAGAGTGAATTACCTGATGATCGAGGCTATATAAACAGTAGTACAATTGTGTGTACTCATTCCCATCCTGTTGTTATATACAACGAAAGAGTGAATTACCCGATGATCGAGGCTATATAAACAGTAGTACAATTGTGTATACTCATTCCCACCCTGTTGTTATATTGAGGCTATGGTAGGGGGAGACAAGAAGTTTTTTTTACAGAGAACTTACAGTGCTGACATAACCATCCATAATAATCCCCGTCACAGATGCAGTCGTAACGTCCGCCTTGATCATCACAGGTCGCACCGTACAAACAATCAACAGTGCTGCATATATTGTCCATTGCTGAAAGTAACACGTGACTATAAACCGAATCTACATTATTTAGGTGGTTGATCAGATTTAGACGTGTTTTCAGAAAAATGCTTAGAAATGTCTTAAAAGTAGAAACAAAAAGAAAATATAACATAATGGGCGAAAAGAAATCAAACTGTACGGAGAATTTTTTTCAAGTGAAATAACTACTTTAACTGATAGAGGAAACATAAACTGTATTGCCTACATATTTAGATAGTGTATTGTGCTTTCACATACAATACATTTTATGTATATAAAACACATATGTGAAAGATGGAGAAATAATATGACATGTTTTATCTTTCCTGTAAATAATATAAAACTCGGTTAACCATGTTTTCCTTGGGAGATACAGAAATCTTATACAACACAGACTTGCATTTTCTGGGTGAATTTTAAAAATGGTAAACAAATCAAATTGACAATAGCTACTTTATACATTCATTTTTACACCTGACCAGAAATATCATACTTACCGACCGATATGACGAAGGAATCGGCAACGGCCATAACTGAAAAAAGATATTTTCAAAATAATTATGATGTATTTGGTAATCGTCAGCACGAACGGGTATAAAGTTCAGAATCTGTCCTATAACAGGATATACAGAATACGGAGAATTTAATGACTTCAATTTGACATTGTTGCTCTGACAGGAAGAATGCAGTTTAATTTATTGTTTGAAATTACACTACCATATCTAATTATAAATCTAAATTTATATTAAAAGCTTTGTGTATTGTTCAACCTTAAAAGTTAATAAGCACACATGACTAAGTATAATATATATACCTGCGTTTTCCTCTACTGTAGAAGCATCGCTGTACATGAAGTACGGCGTTGTTGCCAGCGATTCCCATGCACAGGATCCTGCTCCTTCGACTACTCCAAACCAACCACTGTCAGCTGTACAGTCCTGACCATATGAAGCCTCCAGGAAAAATCGTCTGTTTGTGTCCCTGTATCACACAGAAGATAACACCGCTTCAACTCAGAGAAGCAGAATGAAGCCACAATATCATTAATGGCTATACAAGTCGCGATAAGGAGTTCAAGTATCACTATAGTTCAAACACATCATTAAATTGTATTTGGAAAGATCGTTGACAAAGCCCCAATATACATACCGATCTTGCAATTACGCAATTCTGAGTGCAACATTAACAGATGTATAAATGTGATATCATATTGAAACTGAGACCATCAGACAGCCGATATCATTTCAAGATTTTAAAAATTAATTGAAGGGTTGTTTGGGGGGGTTGCTAGGACATTTTTTTTAGGGGGAAGGGTTGCAGGTTTTGTGTGTGTGTGTCTTTATTGTTTTGTTTTTGTTTTGTTGTTGATTTGTTTGGAGGTAGGTTCGTAAGACTTGTATAAACTGCGTAATTTCCATGCAAAACATTATCGATATGCTGCAATTACGTATAAAGAATATATAACTTGAAGAATTACTTGTATAAAATGAAATACTTTGAATATTGTTGTAAACAAGCAGGAGTTAAGTGATGCAAGAGACAACATTATTATTGTAAGTGACTACTGAGGAGACTTACCCTGCGATACTGCAGTAATCAGTCGGTGTTTCTCGAGTCAGATCGTCGTAGGAAGAATAGAGAATTCGATCACAATCAAACCATGATGACTTTGTGGTGCTGTGACCGTCAAAAACAACATACCTCACCTCTGCGCCGTTTTTGAAAAATGAAACTCGCACCTGCAAATAGATAGAAAGAATACGTACAAATGACTCTGTGTTTACTTTGACATATTTCGTATTTTAAAAGATTCACAATCTTTATGTTGACAAAATAGCAGATAATTATTAGATTTATTAGCTTGTATAAGTGCAAAAAACAGGTTAACTGTAATTTGATATGTTTTATATATACCTGTAGCTAACATGAAACCTCGCAGCACATTACTCACCGCTTGTATGTAATAAGACGTCCAGGAGTTAATCAAACTAGATTTGAACGTCATAGCATTGTCGTCCAATGAAAAAGCTGTCTCATTGTATTCATTGACGACGTGCGTTCCTGTATAGAGATCATATACACTGCTGGCACTGTACAAAGAACCGCCATGAGCAATGTGGAATGCTGGGAACCAACCTAAAATAGACAAAGATTTCCATATCAGAATGACTTATACAAAGTGAAATTCACAAAAGAGTTGCTAACTAAATTGAGCAAATAGATGTTGTTATAGGAAACATGACAATGTTTATATAGATATATGTACAAAATACACATATTTCATAATTTAGAATGAGGTACAATCTGCATCATACAGCTGTTTCATCCTTCTAGGACTCATCAATGATGCTACAGTTATGAAGCCTAGGAGGCAACCGTGGAAAATCCACAGTGATCAAAAGAAAAGTGAAAATGAAGAGAGGTGTATAATTAGATACATTTTATAATTTTCATACATCAGATAATTTTAGAAAAGCGTCAAGAACATGGTGCATTTTCTGAACCGTGCCACTATTCGAGTGAATTAAAACATGGCAAGCAGGTAACAGCAAACCTCGGGAACTTTAAGTCCATCAGCAATGTCTACCACCTGCTAGCTTAAAGATTGTACAAAAGTCCATCAGCAGTGTCTTCCACCTGCTAGCTTAAAGATTGTACAAAAGTCCACCAGTAGTGTCTACCACCGGCTAGCTTAAAGATTGTACAAAAGTCCACCAGCAGTGTCTACTATCTGCTAGCTTAAAGATTGTACAAAAGTCCACCAGCAGTGTCTACCACCTGCTAGCTTAAAGATTGTACAAACGTCCACCAGCAGTGTCTACTATCTGCTAGCTTAAATATTGTACTCTTGACACACAAGAGAATAGCGCCTTTTCATAATTTAGAGTGAGAAACAGTAGAGCCAAACAATGAATTCAGCTGCATCATACAGCTGTTTTGTCCTTCTAGGACTTGTCAGTGATGCCACATCATACAGATCTGCTGATTGTACACTGTGACATGCTCTGAAAGTCAAATCATACCAAGCATCCTTAATGCTAGATGGCAGGATAAAAAATTATGATTGCGTTTCATATCTTAAGGTAGAAAATCCTTGCATAATAACTAACAAAATAACAGGAACCCCATGTCAAATGTCAAACCATGTTAAATCATTTTGGAAAGATCAAAGACAACTGTTGGTAGGGGGTTTGCCTGTTGTTTCTCTAATACTACATTTGTACTGTCATTTGAATGGCAATGCTACATGTAAATCAAATTACCTTTCACGAACACGCCCATTGTATCAGCAGCTGGCATTCCCGCCGCGTAGTAAGAGAAACCTGCAGCAGGAAGATGAAAACATAACATTTAGAGAATTCTTATTCAACCAAAATACTCCAAGGCCTTAAAATATTAATATGTAAATGTATTAGAAATGAAGTTTATAATGTCGTAAATGATGTTATGGGATTTCGAACATTACATGATGGCCGATAATGATATTAATGGCTCTTTACTTGTGGAGAATCTTGATAATCTGCAGTTACAAAAATGTAACAATTCAAAACCATTGCTAATTATTTAAAAAGTTATATATATATATCACAGAGCGAAAATGAATTTATCAACCAGGCTTAAGTAAACTTTAGGCGTACATGCTTCACAATGGGAAAATAAACACATAAGTAAAATTGAAGATTTCGTACCACTCTGCGGTGTATTGTAAGTGCTAGCGCTACTGTACAAGAAAAACGGAGCTGTTTCCACATTTGAAGCACGATCAAACACACAGGGTTCAGATGAGTTTTCAGACAACATCATCCAGCCTTGTACGCTAGCACAGCTGGTTCCACCTTGTTTCAAAATCGCAAAGTTTCGAATATTATCCCTGAAAATCAACGAAAACAATCGTTTTGGTTTTCTTTGAAATATGTCAAGATCAAAAGTGAAATATCTAAATCTGCTGATCTAAAATGGGAATTTATCAAAATAATACGATAAAACACTAAATATATTAAGATAGACTGTTAGGTAGTATACATGGTACACATATCATTTTAAAGTCGTACTGGAGTTATCTACCAAACAAAATACGATAAAACACTAAATATATTAAGATAAACCGTTAGGTAGTATACATGGTACACAAATCATTTTAAAGTCGTATTGGAGTTATCTACCCTGCGATACTGCAGTGAGACTTCGCCTGCGAGATCATGTCGTCATAGCTGGAGAAGAGAAGTTTAGACGAGTCGAACCATGATGTCTTTGTAGAACCACGACCATCAAATATGGCAAATGCAACCTCAGCTCCACCAGAGTAAAAGCCAAATTTCACCTGTTGATATGGTAAATAAATGTTAGTAGAACCCATCCAAACATTATAATGCAATGACTGAATTCTAGTATGTGTTTCAGAATTGGGCCTATTTTGTTGATTGTTTTGTTCTTCACAAATCGAATTTAGATATTATGAAATTTGATTACTTTAAATTTTTCAGTCACCTTCTAGGCTTCAAAATTTAGGCCCCTAGCATCACAGACGAGTCCTATATGATTAAACAGATGTATGATACAGATTAATTCATAACTCGATTTCACTGTATTTAACTTTGTATTCAAAGGTGTTGTTCACTTGTGTGTATTTTGCACATGGATACGCATACAGGTACACATGCTGATAAATATTTGAACTCCAAGTGATGTGGTCGTTATTCGTTAAGATATATATTCATTGCGAGCATTAAGCACTACCAGTAGCAACTGCCGTCATTGCAATTCGTATTATCTTAAATTAGTGCTATGATGATATCTCGTCCAATGAACTGCTACAGAAACAAAAATACATATTCCGATGTCACTGAATCCAAATCACTTTAAGATATATACCAGTTCGGTAAACGTGAAGGAGTCCTGCCATACTTCCAGGCTTGACGATTTGAAAGTAAGGCCCGGTGCTGTTGATACAGTTTTAGCTGATGTATCCAGGTAATTTTCCGTTTCCTCTGACTCCCAAAGGGACTTCAGACTTCCGGTAGAAGCCTGTACTCCTTGGACACCCTTAAACGCCATAAACCAGTCTACCAAAACCAAAGATTTTATAATCATAGATAACAGGCTTCGTCAACAATTACTTTCATTATCAATAAAGGTTTTCAACACTATGATAGTATGAGTCAAATTTCCTGCACCGCTATCTTAAATTTAATCCTTTTCTTAAGGCAATCATTTCAACCAGTTTTGCAATAATTAAGGCCAATAGCATCATTATTAGATCTTAGCTCTTATACAATATAAATACTTTTATTTGACAACATTGTATCTAATTCTGTTAATGCACATTGTATGTGTAGCTTTTGAAATAATCATTCTTCCATAAACGTGAAACCTTTAAGTGATTGTCTCACATGTGTTGTTTTTATACAGTATCTAACTTTGAATATAGATGCTAAAACAAATCCTATCTATCACTGTTTCTATCTGTTTTCATCCAATGCAACATATCCACACTTAAATCCTGTTGACTGGGTACAAATCTAACTAGAAATCATAACATTTTAACATAGTAGGATTGTATTAACAAGTCAGAAAAATGAAGTACATTTTCTTTAGGTTGGTAATGTAAACAGAATGAAAATACTTATAACACAACCAGCAGGGATTTTTTTCAATCCGACAGGTTCCACGGTTGTCTATTAGCTTTCAAAATTAAGACCCTAAACATATCTGGTGAGGACGAAACAGCTTTATGATGCAGTTCTACTCGCTGTTTCTAATTCTAAATTTGTAATAAAATTGGCTGCCCTTTTTACTGCGTATGTTTCTAAAATATTCAGGAATTTGCTAATTACGTACCCATGATATAAATGGCCAGAGCGTCAGCGTCCCCAGTTGGCCCTACAAATTGAAAAATATCGTACATATGTAGTATATTGTGTATAGCATATTTGATCGTTTACTTTCTGTAAAATGGTTTACAACTGTAACCATTTTCTTAAAGATATCTTTTTTATTTTGCAGTAAAACTTTTGTACAGTAACAACGATATATAAAACATTGTTCAGGTATTTATCTTTCATAATGAAGACAAACAAGTCAGAGCTGCTTTCCTACTTGGGATTCTCCCCTCTCAATCATTACCTGTGGCCCAAGTCACGTGTTCTGTTGCTGTGGAATATTTGATGGCCGGAAGACTTGTTGCAGGATCCCATTCAGAACATCCAGTATTGGCACCTCGGTCTTTATACATCAGCCAGCCACTTTCGTCTGTACAGCTTGTGTAGCCTCCCCGATACAGGTAAAATGTTCTCTTACCATTTTCGTCTTCTCTGAATACAGGAAGTATTTAACAAAACTATAAGCATAGGTACAATTGTGGGATTGATCAACGTTATACGACGTGCGATTTTCGCTCTATGTCTGTACGATGTGTGCACAATAGGAATACTGAACGAAAGTTTGCCATGCAGGATGTGCGATTCTATCACACAGACTGTGGTTGATGTAAATTTAGAAGTAAATGTCAGTATGAGAGAACAGTATATTTTCTATTGAAGTCTGTATTATACATCTATAGCTTAGGTATATGTTGGTTGTTCAGGTACAAACTGAAGTTATACACAATCGTAAGCAAGAGAGTTCTGTTTACAACGTGTCACAGATCACTCCATGTGGTCATTTTGCTAACAAAAAATATATACTCAGGTAAATTGTAAGTGTTGTTTTTTTTTGTTACACGGGAGACCTAGCCAGTGCCGATCCCGACTTGCCTAATATAAGTCAACCATTTTTACCGAACCACACAAATTATACGATTCTATTGCACATCTGTACAGTAGGTACTGTATAGTGCATGTGTGTAGACATTGTTAACTATTTTGAGTCAATTTACATTACATTTTATGTTTCCTTCATCAAGAAACTGGTGTCTTAACACATTGGTAAGTTACATTTACCTTAATTGGCAGGTAACATTCTGTGTTGAATCAAGGTCATGCCAACTGGAGTACAGGATACGGCTACAGTCAAAAAAATCGGCTTTTGTTTTCCCAAACGTATCAAATACGACATAGTGAACTTCCACGCCATTGTACCAGACCGAGACTCGAGCCTGTGCAAATATATAGACTGTTCTAAACAGTTTGATATTTTAATGACATATATATTGTAAATTTGTATTCAACATGATTTTACAAAAGACGCACAAGTGAGTTACACCTTTAGATTATTTTGAGTTAGATACAGCAGGCCAAAACAATGAAATAGACAGCGTCATATAGTTATTTTCGTCCTTTTAGCAATCGTCAATTTTAAAGCCAAGGAGGCGACTTTGGAAAATCCGAAGTGATCGACGGAAAAATAGAAATCTAGTTGGGGAAGTGCAGCAGCCCCATAGATAAATTTTCGTGATTTTCATAAATTAGATAGTTTCAGAACAGTACCAAGTACACATGTATATTCTGCACCACTATTCAAATGACACTGATAAAATTGCAATGAATTTTATACTTTGAATCATTGTCTTCAGGTCGGTAATTGTATGTTCTATTTTTGATTGACCAAAGTTAACATGGCGGATGTCATTGGTGAAGCAGAAAATTCTTACTCTTCTGGAACACCTGGTCGTATCCTCCTTGTACTTTATACAGGAGTGTCCGTGTAAATCTTCCTTTTGTTCATATTTGGCCTAGTGTTATGGAATTTGAGCTTGAATTATGATTATGATGCCATGTTGGTATTTTCTTGAAGTGTTTTGTAAGTGAAGTAAAACAGAGTAAATGTGTGCAAAATGTTATCGATGAGATTTAGATTAAACCCATTAAATGCTATTAGTTATTGATAAATATATATATCAGGTGATGCGAGTTAACACATGGTAGTACAATGTAATTTTCATGTTTTTCATTTCAGCGGCTATGTTTTCGTCATGCATTGGCAACAATAATTTTGACAGTTTCAATTCTCCGATACCTAATCAGGAACCTTTGATATATTCCATAAACTTTTTTTACGGAAAGTGCCGAAAAACCCGCATCACCAAATGTACTGTGCTGTTATCATGATCTGTTTAAAAAAAGTATATTTTCTTATAAAATGTACGTTGTGTTGGATAAGTACCCATTGAAACATGTAAGGAAGGTATTGAGGACAAGAGGGCATGATCTGTAATTGTCAACGGACTTTAACAACACATTGAATTTTAAAATAGATGATGCACAACTGGGAACCAATACAAACCTACATATACAACTTGGTAATGATTCACCTCTTCAAGAAATACGGATAACTATGACTGCCAAAAATCAACATGGCCCCTGTCAGATAATCTGTTTTTTTGATCAATCCCAAAATGGGTTATGTACAATTAGGGACATATAAAATTTGGGGATGATTCATTAAGTGCTACAGAAGATATCAAAATAAGTCAAGGATAAAGGGAAGGATGAATACCATTTTATGTAGGTATATATTTATCTATTTATCTATTTTTCGTGTTCTTTATTTCAATTTATCCCTTCAATTCTTGTCATTCAACATTGCAGACAACATGGACATATAAGACATCAAAACCACCAAAAATAACAAATATAGACCATATCAGATTATTTAAAGCAAGCCCCACAGGTAGGATTTGGTAAGATGCTTAAAATATGAGAGGAATCCACTCCATCATTTCTAACATACCGCTTGTGCTGTCACTGTTGAGCCCCAGTTATCCAGCAGTTCCGATTTATAAACACTAGCGGATGAGCTGAAGTCACTTTTATCAGTCACATCTGCATCCGACTCTGTGGAACTAGCTGTTGCGTCATAATAGGCTTTCACATCCGCGTACCCACTTTCTCGTTTTCCATTCGGTGCCTTAAATACGAGTCGCCATGCTGAAAAAATTTTTTTTTTATCAATTTCTTTTCCTCAGATTAGTGTAAATTAAGGAATGTATAGTCCCAACAATAGCGTGGAAACACTCGTTTTAATTTAATGGAAAAGGTTATTATCCAGATTATGAGTGATTGAGTTCCCTTCATAATTTGAATTCTTGAGCGTTTGATTGTGTTTTCATTACTGTTTGATAAAGAACCATGTTTGATATTTAGGTTACAAAGCAGTACTTATCATCTTTCCTAATTCAATAAAAATCATTGTTATATATAAATGCAATTGAAACAAACAGAAACATACGTCCTTTGTATGTATCCAGAATATCTCGCTCTGAAAAACAAAACCAAAATTATTAGATGAAGACATAAAAACACCAAAACAGAAAAAGGCTGATTCACATTTGATTTCGAATAGAAATTTCAAAAATATACAGAAAGACTTTGTTCAAATTAAATGCAGATTCATGTTTTGAAACAGTACCAAAACAGATTTGACTTCCTAGTCAAGATTACCATTACAATGTTACAAAGTGTCATATTATCAACAATGTTGAATTAAATTTATTTTTCATATTTTGCATCATGTTGTATTTATATTATTTCTAACTTGAATTCTCTAAACGCTAGATGGAAATACGACACATCATGCAGTTACAGCATTAACACTGACGAAAAATGCATCACATACCGCTGAAGAATTTACGAACTAAACAATGATTGACCTAAGGAGTTCCCACAGAAGATACTCACTGATACAGTTGAGTTTGGCGTATCCATATTTAAGTACACCTGGATATGATCCACATGGATTACCACCGAAGTAAGAGTCCGTGAAGAAGAACTGACAACTATCTGTCTGTCCATGACAGTACCCTCTCAGCCTGTTTATGGCATCAGTTGTGTAACAATTGGTTCCATCGCCGTAATACGCATTATCGACGTATATGTAGAAGCCAACAGGGCATATCATGGTGTAGTTCTGAGTCTCGTTCAGATTGCCTGTGTTGTATTCTGTGGATGAAAAGATTCCTTTTAATGTAAAAGTTGTGCAGCACAACTATCATCACAATTCTATTTAAGACCGACCTTCGTTGTATATTTCAAAAAAATAATTAATTCCGTACCATCTCGTAGACTATGTACGTCAGTGCGAGTACACTCCACACTGGTTATTTGTCTGATGAAGGTGGCCGTGTAGTCTTCAAAACGTCAGTGGTTGTATTATTAAAACTTCTAACCTACAGTTGATCACCTTTGCTTCATATTGTCAGAACAGAAAGGCATTATTTAAAAAAATCAAAAATTGACGCTGACCCCTGATCCTGTGACCTTGTTTATTTCTGACAAACTTTTCTTCATAATGTCATAACAAAATAGTCATCAAACAAGAAGAGCCATAACTCGGTAAGAATTGGCGAGATTGAATGGCATTTATTGAAACACAAGATTAAGAATAATGTATTCATTCTTTTCTTGAAAAAGTCCAAAAAGGTAAGGGATATTGAAAATTGGTACAATGCAAATGAAGACTAGTTGAATATCCCTTTGAATTGGAACTAGTTTTTTTCTTCAAAATAATGTGTTGTAAATATGTTCCTGTTCCAAAACATCGGATAAGGCAGACTGATTTTGCCAACGACGCAAAATGGAAAAGAAAATAGGAGAAGCAGATAGAACCTTTAAACAGTAAATAAATATTGAGTATATTTGAACTATGCGAATGACAAATCAATGACAATGAAATAGCATCTTTGAAATATTGTTAATGAATAAAAATAATTTGATGTTTTTGTATGACAATTATTGGTAAAATAGTGCAATTATTGTGTTTCTACACACCAGGACAGACGTCATGATCCGGAACACAGGTCTGCACCTCGAGGTCGGGATATCCGCAGTCAAGCCCATGCCCTACTGGTGCTGGTTCTGTACAGTTACGGTAACGGTACTGTGTACCTATGGCGTAACATGACGTACTACAGGCACTCCAGTCGCTCCATGTTGTCCAATTACCATCCACTGTAAAAACGTGAAACTCAATTACTTTTTTCACGCTTATGTCATTACAAACCTAAATGTATTTGAAAAAGAGGCTGCACATTATACAATTAATAGTTCTGACCTCACCCCATTTTCAATTAAAAACCCAAAACCTCTTTGTTGTAATTTCTCCTTGGTTAAGAGTTATGGAATTTTCCGGTCTTTATGTTCCTTAAAAATGAAATTTGACCATACAAAATAAAATTGTACCATGAAAAATCCTTCCAACACTCTCTCTTTATTTGAGTCGGAAATAATAAATTAATTTCTTTTTGTAACATGCTTCCTTATTTGATTCAGTACTGCTTTAAAACCATATTATCACATCCCCATGTGATCAGTTTATAACTTACAGTTCTGACACAGCCAGCCATAAAAGTAACCATCACAGAAACAGCGGTACCGAGATCCCCAATCATAACAAGTGCCACCGTTTTCACATTCAACGATTTCACATATCGTGTCCTTTGCTGTGTAATAAAGAAATTGAATACTAATGAGGACAAAAATATGGTACAAGACATAATTGTAGCTTGATATTTAGCATATAAGACACACAAGAGATATAATAATGATCATTTTAACAGTAGTAAGAATAATAGGTAATATTTCATTAACATTGAAAATATAAAAATAACTGAATTATTGGTATATCGGCATGCTGAACAAGAACCGGTTGATAAAAAATCGACAGCATGACATAGTACATAGGTAATTTGTAAACTTACACATAGAGATTGCAAAGACGTCCGCTATGGCCATATCTGTAACAAAGATCTTGAATAAGTTACGATTATGATAAATGAGTAAACTTTGGTTTTGTACATTTTCTAACAGAAACCAGAATCCGAGTCCGACTCATGCACTGTTTCATCTTAATTCAAACATGCTAGGTAACCATAAATTTGTTATTATATGTTCAGGTTGAAACTGTGTTTAAAACATAATATCTCATTGATATTGATCTTCCAAAAAACGAGAAATGGTTGAATCAATACATATTTTGATTTCAAAACTCGAAAGTAGAAATAAATCCCAAAACAAACAGAGTATTGCTCGTTTGAGTATTGAAAAAATATTCACATAGAAACTTGTATCTAATATATACATATAGTTAAATTTTAAAAAAAGTAACATGTTTAATGTGAATATATCAAGCTATTTCCTATCATGATATATCAATCACCATCAAAATCTTCCATCGTAGTCGTGTCACTGAATATAGCGAACGGTCGGGTAGTTTGTCCTTCCCATGAGCATGTCGTGGTGGTGTCTTCGACCACACCGAACCATCCTGTGTTTGTGGCACAAGTATCGCCATAAGAGGAAGCCATGAACATCCGTCTGTTTTTGGAACTGTCTCTGTCAACATAAAAAGGATGCAATGTATCTGATGGCTAATTCATATCTAACATAATTTAACAATGGCAATCCTTGAAACAGAAACACAATACACAAAATCAAAGAGTAAGATTATAGAGACAAACAAAAAACAATGAACACTACCACATGGTATCTATATAAACATATTGTGTGATACAGCTGATAAACATACTGTTTCTACAAAGTCAAAGATGTTGGTTGTAATCTGAATTATGTTTAAATTCAATCAAATGGTGGCAAGGTGAAGAACAGACACTTTACGTTTCTTTCTTTCTTTTTTTTTTAACAATTAAAGTTCATACCGTGAAAGCTGTATGATCAAAGTCTATTTATCATTTGACTCTACTCTAGATTTGCCTCCAACACTGCTAGTCACTTAAGCGTTTTTTGTACGATCTGCACTTTATATACTTCACTGAAATGCTACATGATACTGCCTATGTTGCACCATAGCCTTACCCGTCCACGCTGCAGTAATCTCGGGGGGCTAAGCTATTGACATCGCCCCAAGAAGAGTAAAGAATTCTGTCTATGTCGAACCAGCTATTTTTGTCAGCGCCGTTAGCGTCGAAGACCACGAAGGCTACCTCGACGCCTCCAACAATAAACGATACACGTATCTGATACAAAAAAAGGAAATGCCGACATGTTATCCGAATCTTCATTTAGAGAAAGCCCTTTTTGTAGCAAATACGTGGAGAAATTTGTATACTTTTGAACGAAATGGACAAAGAATAACAGACAGCAGAAATGCATATGTATACATGATAACCACACTAGAGGCTGAGTGATTTTAGTCGGCTGAATTAATTTCAGAACGTACTGAAACGTCATGTCATCATATCCTCATGTCATCATATCATCATGTCATCATGTCATGGACTTATTGGGCAAAACGGTCACCATTGCTTTGTTTCAAAGATTGATTGATTTTAGAAATATGAACATGAGTACAACGCAAGGGATTTTTTTTCACTTTTCTTCTTCCAATACAATTTGCTGTAATCTTACAATGACCATAAGATATTTACTACTATTAAATCATTGCACCGTCAATATTTACGTTTTGATATTTCCAAACTTTCTTATAACTGATGCTTTCGCATTTTCATGTTGTGATTTAACGCAATGTTGCTCAATACGACATATAATTAGGATGTCCATAGGATATATTACGTCTTAAATAAATATTTGTTTATTGATGTTGGTGTTGTAGTATCAAAGTTATAGCCTATATCAGTTGTCTCCCTTTATTCATACAATACGTTTTAACTCATTAACTTTACAGAAATTACTAAAGATAAAAGATCATACCGCCTTGATGTAATAACTTGACCAATTATCCACCACACTTGATTTGTATGACATGGTAGAAGATGCGAAGGAGAACGCGGTATCTGTGTCGTTGTACTCGTTTAATGTATAGGTTCCTGTCCAAAGATCGTAAATTCCACTAGCTGGCGATAAATCCTCACCTCTGGCGACCTTTAGGAGGGGATACCAACCTGAAAACAATTTTACATAGTTCATAAACTAACCTGTAAAAGAAATCAAGTTCACACAAGTAGTATTCAGGATATCGACACCTGTCAAATCAATTAGCCGAGATCAATTAACTCATGCATTTGTTAATTACAAATTAATTATTTCAATTATGCGTTAATAACAGATCCATTTTTGAACAACTTACCTATAATGAATATTCCCATTACATCTGCTTTTGGTACACTAACACTATCCCAACTCGATCCTGTTTAGGAAAAAATAATTATAAAGGCACTTCAAATGTTTTCAATAAAAACGCAAAACAAAAATAAATAAATAAACTTGGAACTGATTCGTTAAAGATTTTATTTTACAAGCAGTTAACACATCATGATTAAATCCTTATAAAATCAGATCTATATACAATATTCATTATAGATATGATATCCACTTACCACTGAGTGGATATGCGTACTGATCAGACGAACTGTACAGGAAATTCGGTCTAGAAGCACCGAGTACTCCAGCATTGTCAAAGTTACAATAAACAGGGCCTCCTACATCAAGTGTTGCCATCCACATTTGATAGGAGGCACAATGGGTAGATATGTCGTGGGCTATGAGAAACTTTCTTCGTGAGTCACTGTAACAAAAACATATAATGTTGTTCACACGAATAGCGGCACGGTTGAGAAAACACACATGAACCTGACGCTATTCTAAAATTATCTGATGTATGAAAATTACGACATTTAACTAATTATGGTACTGCTGCTCCTTCCCGTCTACGTTTTACTTTTTTTTTTTTTTTTTATCTTTTTCGATTTTCCTTAGTCACGTCCTAGGCTTCAAAATGTAAGCCTTTAGCATCACTGACAAATCCTAGAATGACGAAACTGTTGTATGTTGGAGTTTAATTCATTATTTGGCTCTACTGTATCTAACTAAATGAGACATTTACATGTATCTTCAGTACAATCTTTAAAAAAAATGATACACAGTATGTACAGACTTACTGATGATACACAATATGTACAGACCTACTGATGATACACAGACCTATTGATGATACACAGACCATACACAGACCTACTGATGATACACAGACCTACTGATGATACACAGACCATACACAGACCTACTGATGATACACAGACCATACACAGACCTACTGATGATACACAGACCTACTGATGATACACAGACCTGATGATACACAGACCTACTGATGATACACAGACCATACACAGACCTACTGATGATACACAGACCATACACAGACCTACTGATGATACACAGACATACTGATGATATACAGAGCATACACAGACCTACTGATGATATACAGACCTACTGATGATACACAGACCATACACAGACCTACTGATGATATACAGACCTACTGATGATACACAGACCTGATGATACACAGACCTACGGATGATACACAATATGTACAGACCTACTGATGATACACAGACCTACTGATGATACACAGACCTAGTGATGATACACAGACCTACTGATGATACACAGACCTACTGATGATACACAGACCTACTGATGATACACAGACCTGATGATACACAGTTTGTACCGACCTACTGATGCTACAATGACCCATGCTCGCTGTCTTGATGTCAGTGTAACTGGAATATAAAACCTTTGACGAGGTGAACCAGGTTGTCTTTGTAGTACCAATACCGTTGAATGCCACATATGCCTTTAGAATACCGTTGGTAAAGAACGCATACTTTGCCTGACGGAGAAAAAAAGATAATTACTAACCCGATGTGATACGTAGATTTGAAACAACCTCGATGCTGAAACCATATTTAACTTATGGGAAGAGATTGTAGTTATGATCGAAACGCTACAAAAATGTATATGACAGTTTTACATTATCTATATGTATACAACACAAGACAAAATTACAACATTTTACATCAGTGTAACTGAGATATATAAATCGAAACACAAACTTTACTCAAACGTAAATGAGAGGAGATTCAACATAATCAATAATCTGCTATTCAAAATTAAGATTTAAAATTTCCATAGAGAATGAAAATATTGGTCCTGATATTGACACAAGTACAAGGACCCCTCCCGTATGCTCAAAATATCCACTAAAAGAAATTAAACTATTTTATCTTAATACAGAGTTTGGACAAACCTGAAAGGACATAGTTTAGAAATTAAAAAAATACTGCAATCCATATTGTATATGCAATAGCTTCACAAATTAAAGAAAAACAAATTTAATCTGAGAATTTAACATAAAGAAGATAAAACACTGATAACGAGTCAATGTCAGAAGCATAATAGGTTAGATCATTAACAATTAAGTTTCACGGTGCTATGATATAAATGTTGGAAAATCAATAGAAGAGCGATGACCAGATATAGAGTTGCCAACAGTCGACGATTCCCTCCTAATTCACATACCAAAATTACGCAATTAACAAGAGCAAATTGCTATCAACCCCCAAAAAATTATGTAAAGATGTCATTTGTAATACAGCACTGTGTCTATCGAGTTCCACTCTGTCAGCTTATACCGACAGTACATGTGTTCTAATGCGTACCATATCGATAAATGTAAATGGGTCGGCCCAGTTCTCCACTAGACTTGATTTATACGCTAGATTCGGAGATTTTGTAACAGTAGTAGCAGTTATGTCGTTGTCGTTTTCCGTATCGGTGCCAGTCCATAACGTGGCTAGATCTCCAGCGGATGGAGTGATGCCCTCCACACCTTTGAACACCATGTGCCAGTCTGTGAAGTGAAAAGTTTATACACAATTATCTACATAAGTATACATTGGTATTTGGACACTTATGACTATATATATATAACCACACTATAACACTATGTTATATCAAATACCAACTCTGTATAATGTAGGTTTAATCAAATAAACAGAGAGAACCTTTCAGCGATTTTACTTATTTGATCACACCCAAAATCAAACGGGCACCATAGAGACAAAGGGAACCTACATATGCAATTTGAGAAAGATCCATCCAGTACTTCTCAACAAATAGCGATAACAAATACTGTTTTCTGACGGACGGACGGACCACGGACATGATTTGAATAGGTGGGCTACACATTTGACCAGGTTAACATTGCTTACGGAAGTATACGTACCCATTACAAAAATTGCCATAGCATCAGCTGCTGCCATATTTCCTAAAAAATTAGAAAATTTCAATTATATATCCACTGTTGATTAATCATCAGTATATAACGTACATCACCAAAATGTATCCGTATACTCAAAATCTTATCATACAAGGATAATCAGAGATGGGTTATGCTCCCGGAATGGACAAAACTCGCGTATGATAAAAAACAAAGGGCAATAACTCCTGCATTATGCAGAAGACAGCAATGGTTCTTGTGCAATGCACATCTCCATGTTGTGATTTATCTACAAATGAAGATTTATGTATATACCTCTTATAATTTTAGTGTAATGCTTCAGACAAAGTATGAAAAACGATACGGGCTTAGCATCTGTAACAGCAACAGTATACTAATACAGTGTGAAATATCGTATAGTCATGAGAGTTAGAAATAAAACCCTTATTTTGTACGACAGAAGACGCAAACCATGAAGCTTACCAGATGACCACCTGACACGTTCAGTGGATGCGGAATAGAAAATCTGTGGAAGGGACGATGTGTCATCCCATTCTGTACATCCGTCGCTTGCTCCATAGTCTTTAAAGACGAACCAGCCTGTCTCATTAGTACAGGAAGGATAGTCACTCTGGATGTGGAATTGCCTTTTCCATGTGTCGCCAGAACTATTTGGAACACGGCGTTGTGTTATTATAGTTATCCATGAAAATTGTATGACAAAAAAAATAACAAAAACAAACACACAAAAAACAAAAAAAAAACAAAAAAAAAAAATAAAAAAAACAAAAAACAAAAAACAAAAAAATATTTTCTTAACAAGAGGAATAGATATATCATATGTAGACTAAACGTGAATTAATAAGATTTAAGCATCTAAACAAGAATGAAAATAGAATCAGTCCAATATCTGTATGTATATCCTGTATCTATATAAATCACCTTTTAGTACAGGTCCTGTTGCCATCAGGTAAATCATTCCATGAAGACTCTATTATATTGTTACAATCAAACCAGTCCGATTTTCCTTTCCCAAGAGCATCAAAGATGGCGTAATGAGCTACTTTACTATTGTTGTATGCGGCCAGTTTTACCTAAAACATAAATTAACTGCTGTTTGACTTGAAATATAATGCATTTCCTATACGCCTCAATTATGGGTAACTCTAAGTATGCAGACAAAAATCCTAAATCACTATTAAGATGGTTCTATTAGGAGATTAGGTAAATATACAAATCTCCACGGCTGTAGTATCAAATTCGACAAAATTAGCAACTCGCAGCGGAAGTGATTTAAAGTTAAAGGGTTCAGATATGTCCTTGTTGATATAAGGAATGGACATAAGCACAATCTCTAGCTTTCAATTTACGCATGTATTTATAACAGATATACCTTTCAAACAAAACTGATAAGTCCTTATAAGGCAAATGTGATCTAAAGCGTCAAAATTGTAGACAGTAGATGAAAATTTAATACTGTCTACAAAAGGAGACAGACAATCCGTTCTGTCTCAACGTTTCATCAATTTCACCGCAACAGGTAAGGTCATATAATCACAAATATCGCACAAAGTAAAATTGATCAGAATTGGTAATAAAAACATTTCGATGGATTACTTACTGCAGTGTATGATGAATTAACGTTCCAGTTATCTAACATTGTAGATTTATAGATGGCGCCACCAGCGCTGAAATCGGTCATTGCAGCAGTATCAAACTCATTGTAAGCTCCCGATGCGTCATATAATTCCATGATATCATTATATCCAGCAGGAGGTGCAGTGCCACTAGGCGCTTTAAACACAAGTCTCCAGGCTGGAGAAATAGAACACAATATACAGTCATATGTCTTTTACTTAAACAACAAAGAAAATACTGATATGTCAACAAAACGTAAACTATGAAAATATCAAAGCCCTGAAAAATGCACAAAGGGAATAAAACGAATAGTTGTAAAAGCGATTTCTGCTTTAAGAGGAAACCTTCCACGAAGAAAATTCATCAATGGAGAGATGACTTATGATCAAATCATGATAACGGACTTTAGAATATGTCACATGTAGTTTAACAATGTGTCATACTTACGTCCCCTCGGACTGTCACGTTCTCTTCTTTCTAAAAATGAAAGATTTCAATTTTCTTTACCAATTTATCTTCATTTATAAACCATTACATAAACATGTAACATTACGTCTTATTTAATCATAATACAACATGTAATCAACGACTCATGTATAACATTTGATTTCAAATTCAAAATTGATGACACGGGGGCCAGTGCATGATCAATTTTATCACCTGTATATCCTTAAAGAAGTGAGAAAATTTTGAATTGTTTGGATATTATGATATGTTTAAGCAGCAAGCGAACATTATTAAGTTTGTATTACATACTGGCACAGTAGAACTTTGCATTTCCCTTCACAACTGCTGAAGGATAAGATGTACAAGGATCTCCAGCAAAGAACGTATCGGAAAACGTGACATTGCATTGGTCAGTCTGCATATGACAGGCCGTCCTTACGTCCGTCAGGGCATTCGCATCAAAGCATAGAACCCCACTTCCGTAGAATGCTTCATAAACATGTATGTAGAAATCGCTCGGACACATCATTAAATAGGATGAATCCTCAGACATATCCCCAGTGTTGTATTCTAAAAAGAGAACAACATGGCAACACTTAATTGTCTTTATTTATTTGTTTACAACAGTGTATTCAAAGGGATTAACATTTCTATATGAAAAATTGAGACGTTAAATATATGAATAAATCCGTACCGGAACAGATATCGAGATGAGTTGGGATGCAGGGTTGGGTCTGGTCTGGTTCTCCGTATCTGGTGCAATCCTGACCGATCCCAAGAGGAGTTGGGTTAGTGCACGTGCGGTTCCGGTAATGAACACCTTGTGCGTAGCACGTGGTGCTGCAGTCAGACCAATCACTCCAAGATGTGTAGTTTCCATCAACTGTAACAGGAAATAGTCATTTTGAAATCTTCACTTCCCAACACAAAAATACCAGGTACAATATAAACGAAATAAATTTATCAAGGAAAATAAACAAGAAAATACATAGAAGAATTAAATTATTTACATCAAATTAAAAATAATATTATAAAAGTAAAACTACCATTTATGTAAAATAAATCCGCTCCACATCGTATAATCATAATTCTTTTGAAAGGCAGCGATATTTATCGTTCAATTCAAGAAAATACATACGATTCTGGCAGAGCCAACCATAATATTCCGGCTCGCAAAGACATCTGTACGTTGATCCCCAATCCAGACAGGTGGCACCGTTTTCGCAGGTGACGATATCACAGATTTTGTCCATGGCTTTATGGGAAAACAGTATAAAATGTAACTATGTCTAGTTATATATATATGTGTGTGTGCAACTAGATTGAACATTGCATCACAGTACAATGATTTGGAGCTTGAAATATCGAATTTATTGTCAAGTACCAAGAAAGCCAATTATCAGGGGAAAAAAAGGAAAAAAAAAAAAAAAAAAAAACGATACGAAATTTAAACCTAACCAAAATTAATTATTCATAATTGTGAATGACAACCATGCTAGTGCATATGTTTCTATATAGAAGGCAATATTACCACTGTTATCTAGGACTTGAGTAATGGTAATATATTTCCACAAGCGTCATGGTTCCGACAATTATCTTGACAATTGCGTTCTTATTCTTATGGCAAAAATCGGTTTCAAATAAGGTACGTTTACGTATTGCACTTCAAACGTGTATTGGCTATACTTAAGAGAATGGAACAAAATATCAGAGGAGAGATGAGCTTTCTTGATAATGCTTTAATAAAATCTGTTGTATAAGACGTTGCTTAGAGCAACCTCACATCTTTATCCGTAATAAAATAGGTATTCCTTGACAAATTTCCTACAAAACTTTGTATTTTTGTCATTGGAACAAGTTCATGACATAGTGTCCTTTATCTGTTTGAATATATTTCAGAATCACTAAACAAAAGGGTTTTTGTTACTTACAAACGGATATCCCAAACACTTGAGCTACAGTCATATCTGAAACAGAGGCGGAAAGACTCATACAATAACTAGTTCACAGGCATATTATTATCAATTCAATGCTGATCATTTCTGAATATTATTAAAATCTGTGCTGAAAGGTGTTATTCACTTGTGTGTTATTGCACAATGCATCAAAATCGTACAAATAAAATTACACAGTGACATTTGATATCACGCTCAATGCAATTAAGTTTCTGTAAATATTTTATCTGCTATCAGTAATCCAAACGTACATGAGACCTGTGTGTAATAATTTGATGTAAATCTTGTACGGACGTAAATCGTGTACGATTAAATGACTTATTTATAGACTTACCATCATTATTGCCCATCGTATTTCCAGAACTGTACATTACATAAGGTCGTGTCGCCTTTGTTTCCCATGAACAACTTCCGGACGACGCTTCTATGGCTCCAAACCAACCCCTGCTTACGTCACAGGAAGATCCAAGCGAACTCTCAAGGAAAAAATGCCTTTCATTTGCAGATTGCCTGATGTAAGCAATTAATGTTTGTTAACTTCATTGAAATGCATTCAAGCAAAAACATTCTTTAAGCGAGTTAACATTCGAAATTTATTTACCCTCAGTTCTGAATACGCCAGTCTTTGGGACTGACATAAATCTAGAAATTGGTCGTGGTATTGATATAGATAATTGTGAACATATTTTCTCTTCATTAATTACAAAACAGTGATATTTTGCAAATATGAACATAAACTTTACCGCATCTGACAGGTAATATGTATTTTGTTTCTAATTCTGTAAGATACATGGGGGCCTAGACATTTAATCAGAGACTATATAACACATCTATAATGTCTCTCTTAAATATATAATAATTATAAAAATACAAACTACGAGTTGTAATAAAATCAGAATAATGAAGTACAGAATCGTGTAACAATAGGTGTACTTAGTACCCCAATATACTGCAGTATTCCTTTGATGCATAACGATTTAAGTCAGTCCATGATGTGTACAGGATCCTGTCACAAGAAAACCAAGAGGACTGGTTTGCACCATTCGCATCAAATACAACATAGTGGACTTCTACTCCGTTCTTAAATACTGAAGCACGGACCTGAAATGTTGTAAAATCACCATCAATAATTGTTACAAACAAGCAGTCCATGTGCTTGCTTTTATTTTAAAAAAAAGCCTTTTTTCAGATTTAAAAAGCTTTCAATCAAGTGTGAACCACATGCCAATTAGTCTTACTATTAATGTGGTCGTAATATTAAGCTATTGGCAAATTTATAGTAAGCAATTTACCGATTGTTGGCTAGCCCGAGATTCGTATAAAGCATTAATAATGTATAGGTATAGGGAACAATTCTCAAAACTCTCTGTGAAGTCTTGAGCAGGTAAAGGCAAACGCATGCTGTTTACGTCAAATGTCTTACAACCGATATGTAGTTTGTTAAACAAAATTGTAAAATAAATCTTAATAATCTTAATCGTAGCAATACATTCATAGACCAGCGGAGCCCCAAACGATTGTCTGAGGAGTAAACTGTGGGCGAACAATTCAGGAAGTCAGTGAATACATTTAGTGGGCGAACAATAACACATACGTCACTTAACAGATGGTGGGGTGTGAGAGATCCTGGTCATAAATCAATATCAACACCTTCTAACATTAACATATTTTACAATAGCTTCCAAAGTTTGTTATTGTCAGTTTCTGCATTTTGACTTATTTAAAAGCCAACAATAGCAAGTAAACGCTTGAGAGGTCTACAGAATCTTAATTCCAAATCCACATAGGTAAAAAGAGAGTATGGTCCTTCTACTTTACCAAAGTAACCCGTCAGAGAAAACATTATGCCCTACATTTTTATCAATCACTATTTAGGCTGTATAAACATAAATCATATTTGTTTAAAACAAACCAAAAATTAAAGGGAAGATAACTTTTTTCAGAAAAAACTTACCCCGCGGAAATAATGACTTGACCAATTATCTACTAAGCTGGACTTGTAGGTCATGGTATTGGCGGCGAAGGAAAACGCGTCATTAGTATCATTATATTCATTTAGAACATAAGCATTTGTCCAGAGATCATACAGTCCGGTAGCGGGAGATATATCCATTCCGTGAGCGTACTTAAAGACCGGAAACCAACCTATTAAAACAATTCGATTGTGAAGATGCATTTAAAAATATTTGTAGTATCACATATCAAGGATTCTTTGAACAGATATGTATGATAATCCAATTAAGCAATTTCAAAAGAAAGCACATATCAGCTTTCACTATTTATTCGATCAAACTAGAGTAAAATAGATGTTATGTTTCAGCAAATCTTTAGCAAAAATACCAACATGTCAACAGAATCATAATCCAAATTCAAATTCAACTTAGATTAGGGAAAATATGAACGACAGACAGATTACATGACAGAGTACAAGTAGAATATGACCAGGTGTTCCGAAAGAGTAAGAGTCTTCTGCTTCATTGACAACATGAAGGAATCTTTACAAAGTAAAATAAAACACATTATAGAGTACCGATAGATCATTGTACTCAGTCAATCTTTGGGATGATTTTATATGAAAATGCATTATGGCAATTAAAATGTATTCTGATATACAATGATATCATATCAAATAATATATAACGTACATGTGTTATTTTTTTAATTTCGAAGACATATACTCAGGCAAGCAGATCAATCAACGTTGTATTGATAATTACGCTGTGACCTTTACTAAAAAACTATGTCTATCATGTAGATTTTATTTTTTTACAAACCGAAGAAAGAATCGAAGCCTGTAGTTCCAAATCATGATAATCAATAGATTGAATAGATACTCCTACCTTTAAAGAATATTCCCATGACGTCTGCGTACGGAAAGTTAACGCTGTCCCAATTACTGCTGGCCACTACAAAATATTGAGAAAAAAAATTCTATTGATATTCATAATAGAACAAAAAACATATTACAAAGTTATCAACATCAGAATATCGTATTATGCACAAGCAAAGGAGAAGACGAGAAGGATTTCAATGGCGTTTGAATTAGACCAATATCTCTGAAAACGAATACCGGCCATATCAGATACTAGTAAAACATTCAAAAGAGTGATCCTCATGTGTCCTTATTGATGTTTTATTTTCATCATATTCTGAATCTGTTTTAAAATGATCTTATTAATGTTTTTTGCATTTTGAATAATTTTGCACCTCAGTATAATATATCATGAGTGAATGACAGGGAGAGTATACAAACGATAACACAATTAAATATAACAGAATTTCGCTTAGGTGTAAAATATAAAAGAAGAAAATGATTTTTCACAGATCTTGTATATATTTCACGAAAATATTCTGCCTGTTTTCATTGAATAACGGTACCAAATAATTATGACAATAGAATCAAGTCAACTGAGGAACTGATCCAACATCTTTACCACGTGTATCAAATGTTCACTACAAGAAAACTGTTTGAGATTGACGATATGGTCCTTGTGACAACAAAGAATTACAGATGAGGCCTCATGCTAATCAAACCTCACACAAATCCACAGGTGATCATATCAAAAATACTTGATACATATAAAACATAATAGTTTATATTTTTGCTATGGACGCATTGAAGAAATCTTAATTTTGGGTAACTGCGATCCATCTTATTTCGAAGTTGAGGTAATGATTGATATCATCATTTAGTTTCTAGATTGAAGGGAGAAATTGGCAAAATGAACATATTTAAAGATAATACTTACAGGGATTACCATAAGAATCGGTAGCACTATATAGGAAATACGGCTTGGTGGTCACTCTTGATTCCATATCGAATCTACAAGAATCCGAGGTGCCATAGTCGAGCATGAACATCCAAGCCGAGTAGGTGTCACATGATGCTTCTGTATAGACCAAGGCAAAGGACCGCATATTGTCTCTGGAAGTAAAGCGTAATGTTTTTTGTGGATGTAATAGTGTTAACATAAGTTTTCATTAGGTATGTGGTCGTAACTTATTAATTGGAATAAACAAATTATCAGAATACTGCGTTGACACTTTGACATCATAAAAATTTGTATCGATGTCAAAATACAGTTAGTATAAACGAGACAAATATATCCTGAATCACATCACTGAATCGCACACACAGACATACACTCACACCCACACAGCCCACATATCAGATCATTTGTCTTACGATATCATGAAAATACATGCAGTATACCACTGTGATTACAATGAATCACAAATTACGATTTAAAAACAAAAGTTGCATCCGTTTCCCGATATATAAAACTGATTCCTTACCCTACAATGCTTGCCTGGGATTTCCCACTCGTCTTGATGTCTTGGTAACTAGAAAACATGATGTTACTATCGGAAAACCAACTGGTTTTAGTTGTGCCTACGCCATTGAACACAGTCCAAGCTTTTTCTGCTCCATTTGAGAAGTGAGAATACTTTACCTGGGTTGTAAAAGCGACAGGAAATAAACATGAAGACTTACAATCGGTGAAAAAGTCAAAACAAAAAATAACTAAGAATAAGTACTGGAGTTTCACAAGGTACATATATAAAGATATAGCATTTCGTAAGTAATCGACATTCTATGATAAATGGTATTAAGATATTATAGTAAGTATTCATCGTTCTCTTACTAATGTTATACAGATATAATAGTATAGTTAGAAAGTATTCACTGTTCTCTTATCAATGTTATACTGATATTATAGTATAGCTAGTAAGTATTTGTCATTCTCGTACGTATTTTATGCTAATATTTTTAAGTTGGTAAACGTTTTCTCTGTCACGGCAGCAGAACGTGTATTGCTATAAGTAAGTGTACGCATAGTTGGCTGTTTTCCTTTAGATCAGTGTCCTGAAACAAGACGAGACAAGAGATACACCAAGACTACATACCTGGTCAAAGAAGGTGAAGTGTTCTGACCATGTCTCAACTACACCCGATTTGAAAGCTTTGCTTGGTGAGTTTGTAAGTGTCTGTACTGTGGTATCATATTCATTTTCTGTCAAAGATGACGTCCATAAGTTAACGAGGCTGGTGTACGTCGTAGGAGCAAGACCTTGGATGCCCTTGAATATCATATGCCAATCTATCGAATACAAATACAAATTTCGTCATTTTTTCTGTTAACGTTTCATATGATGCTGTTTCATGCTTTAGATTCAAACTTAAATGAAATAATCTTGAAAAGTTGTAACTTGAACTATAAATAACATAAACCCTTTTCAAGGCTTTGTTCACTTGTGATCATAATATAGAAACTAGAACTAAGGTCTGTATGTAGTATTCGCATATAAACAATTTATGATCCTATCAGAGATCACCAGATTTAAATAAAATCATTGTACTGATAAAAGTATTAAACTAGACAAATACGTCCTCTACCATGCACGACACACATATAAAATTAGGTTTTAACAACTTTTGTCCTTTTCGTGGCTATAAACAAACATTGTAAAGAAACTGTAATGAATAAAACTTGAGGTAATAGGAGTTTGTCTATGTTTAAGTGACATGGAAGTTGTTACCTTAGGAAAGATGTATTAAGATGACACCACGAACAAAAGAAGAAAGGAACCTTTTATGCTGTAAAGTGTGTATGTTTCATTTGGATACCATGATATTTGCTAAAAATTTGTGATTAAGTGTTCGACATTACCAATGATGAAAAGTGCAAAAGAATCTGCTTCTTCTCTGTCACCTGCAAAATAACGTTTGGAAATAAGATAGTACCTGCCAATAAGTGATGCATCAGATGTAATGTTTATTTAAAAAACAAAACATAATATATGTTGTTTAAAAATAATTGAAACATGAATATTCAAATCAAAGGAATGCTTGTGTTGTTATTTACTTTATTCTGTTGAAAACAATAGATAAATGAAATCAATCGGGAAGAAATCTTTCATTTACTGTAAAGAAAGCTGCCTTAACTCAACCGATGTGATCATTATTACAAATATTGGTGGTTATTCTTTTTAGATGCATTTGGGAACAGTGATTATGTCTCTTGATTAAGGGCATCTTATTTAGTGTTTCAACAACAGCGCTGTACGCACGCATTGAAAGGTTAAAGTTTTGGAATGCTTTAGTATTTAAAATCTATAAATACATGCTACCTTAAGCCGCAGGTGAACATACCATTTAAAATCTATAAATACATACTACCTAAAGCCGCAGGTAGATTAGGTAAGACGCCTTCGTTAACCACAATATTTGCCGCGACTTTGACCCTAGTGAACATGCCATTAAGCATATACATAATATAATGGATTTTTATGAGTGAGCAAATTTAGGATTTCATCCAGTGTTCTTTCGGTAAGAGTGTGTGGGATTTTGTCCAGTACATTTTATTGAATAACATGTATGAATATACATCTCGGTGTGCAAGTGAACAACCTTTATACATGTTTTAAATACTTATACATGTCTCGTTGTTTTGTGTGTTCATTTGAGTCAAACAAATGAACTACCTCTTGATTTAGTCCAAAAAATGAAAAAACCTCTCTATGTTCCAACAAGAGCCAAACATATGAAAGGTATGTATATTTTTAGATGTGGCCACGCTTCATAGATAATGGTTTTCTAAGTATTGTATTGATACAGTCTACAGTAAAATTCATAAAAGATGTGAACGTCTGAGCTCATATGCAAAACAAAATCTTATCACCTGACCTTTGGCCATTTAACTTTGACCGATGACAACCTAATATACAGTGAAGAACTTGATTTTATGATACTACGGGGTGGAGAAACTCTGCAAAATGGTTCACAGAGTTGCAACTTGATTCGGAACGGGACGTAATGGGCATGAGTTACACTATACCCCCTCCCCCCAAAAGGTAATGAGGTGGAACGTAGAAAAACAGACTTGTTGACCACTGGGCCCGAGTGCGCAATCCTGAGTAGTAGATATAAGGCCTGGTCAAACTAGGATCGTCCCACTCTGTACACCCTGTAGAGGCTCCATAGTCCTTCATCATGATCCAGCCAGTTTCATTAGCACAGCCAGAATAGTCACTACTGATGAAGAATGCTCTCTTCTCTGTACCCCCAGTACTAGAACAAAATATACATATAATTAAAAACAATGATATAGAATTAAACTATATTTTTATGGAAATATTTCTATTGTATTTTATATATATGTTTCGGGCTCGCAAACCAAATAAGGATTATTATTACGTAACGTGATAAGTGGCTACATTTGTCAGAGAAAGTATTTCAAGCTGTAAAAAATCACGACCTTTAGGAACTTATTTAATTCTCAATGAAATAGAAATGTTTTTTTAATATACTATCATAACAGACGGTGAAAGAGGAATGTCTTTAGTATGTCATAAACAACAAAAACAGTGATCAGTATTCTGATAGCCAGATGGACGGGGCCTAAGAACCCATTACCCAAAATTTCATTCTCACCTGGTGTCGGCCCTGTTCTATTAACTCTTTTGAAAACAATGAAAGTCGAAATGTGAGGAAATTTTAGAGGAGATTTACAAAATACATCTGAAATAAGGCCAGATGTTCAACATGATGTCTATGCCTTCTTAGGTTTTGTCGTTTTGATCACAACACAAACCTTAAAGTACATGTAGTGTTTCCATTGACGATGTCGTGGTAACTCGAATCAATGATTTTACTACAGTCAAAGGCGGTGGATTTGGTCGAGTCAGACGTATCAAACGTAACATAGGCCGCCATCTCTCCATTCTTAAAAACTGCCAGTCGCATCTACACCGACCAAAAACGTAAATATGTTACATTTTATTGTGTTCGAATATCTAAAGATTCATGCTTTGATAAGAGCATCACATTGACATTTGTATTGAAAGATGCTACTTAT